CGAGACGCGGTGGCGGGCACCCGCGATGGACAGCGAGGGCGACGCTTTGGTTTCCTGTGCTTTGATGTCGGGGACTGCACAGGGAGGGCGTGAGGACGCGGTCCGCTGTCACGACGCGTGATTCCGGGGGGCTGGCGCCCCGCTCCGCAGCCCCCGCCGTGGCCGCCGGGTGCCCGCCTCTCCCCTTCCCACTCGCCCTCCGCCCCGGCCCCCTGTCCAGGTCCTATGTCACTTCCGAGCCCTGGGTGTCAGTGCCAGGCGTGAGCGGCGTCTGCCCACGGGGCTGGGGAGGTGCCTGGCACAGGGGCTCCAGTTACTTGGTCATCTCGCTGTCAAGAGAGAAAAAAAAAGACCCTCCCCATGCTCACACCCTGGTCCGCGCACCGGGGTGAGCTCCATGGCTGTAGCTGCAGTCCCTGGCTGACGCGACATTCCTCTGGGTTACTTGGATGGTGGGACCAAGGGATCTCAGATGCATTCTGTTTTCCTTCCATGGCTCGCGAAGAGCAGAGCGGTGGAGGCGAACCTGAGCAACTCAGTCATGCCGTGGTGGCTGCTTTTCCTCCTGATGTGGGGCCCAGCCAGGTGAGACATTCGTGGTTTCTGACTTTTAAAATTCAGGGTACAGGGGCATGCTTGAAACCATCACGCAGGGGTGGCTTTGGAGAGTCTGGGCAGTTTGGAGGAATTATGTCTCACAAAAGCATAGGGCCCAGAAAGTGAGCTAGAAGTGGTAGAGACTGGACAATAAAGTCTCATTTTTAATGACAAAATGCCCAAGTGAAGATGCATTTTTTTAATACCAAAAAAAAAAAAAAGAAATCACTGAAGAAAACACCATGATCATCGGATGGCCTATTCCTATAAGGAGCTGAAGTGATTAAGTTAGGTGGGCTGCTAATAGCCCCAGAAGCCGATAAGGAGGCCAAGTTTTCCTTCAAGCCACAGAAACATATAAGCGCAATGATTTGACTGTTAATTTTTTTCTTTTTCTTTTTTGTTTTAGTGGTCTGGGCTTTTTTAGTTAACGTAGAAAACCCAAATGATGTGTGAGTCTTAAGCCTCTAGGTGGAGGTAGTATACAACTTCACAATCATAAACAATAAAACAGAAGCTTGATTTATTAATTAACTTTTTATGTGACTGATTTAGAACTCTCTTATCTCCCAGATGGTTACTGCCGTAAGAAAGACTTATTTCAAATGTGTACAGTTTTTGCCTGTGTTTTACACACATGAAATTATTTTTTATTTCTTTCAATAACTTCATCTAAGTTGTCATTATTCCTGCTTTTTATCTTGAGTGTGTCTCTTTATTTAATGCCTTTTGGGTATAATTTTTAAAACAGCAGAGGACTTAAGAATACGAGTTTTATAAGAATAGTCCTTCAGCTGTTCCTTCTTTAAAAATACAGTAGCTATACTACCTTTAATTTCCCTCTCATTTTTCATTTTTCTGTCCTGATGGTCAAAATGTGAAAGTATTTTTCTAAGATAGAGAAAAATTGTATGTATAAAGACTTCTGTTTGATGAAAAGTAGCTACTCATTTAACACATGCATACCAACTTCAGCAAGTAAGTATGATATATGATGAGAAACAGAGTGAAAATCTCCCTGTGGAACTTTCTGTCTAGTGAATGTTTTTGCAGTTAGCTTAGTAAGGCCACATAGAAACATTGGTGGCTAGAAGGTAGGAATGACTGCACTTACTGCTGTAAATGTTCATTTTCATAGTAGTGTTTGAATGTGTTCTAGCCCTTACGGCACTGTTCGCTTGACATTAGTTACCGGTTTAGATGCATTGTGACTATTTTTAGCTACTGTCTGTCTACAGTACATTTTGATCGGAATGAATTGCATACAGTCTTTGGTTTGAAAGGAGTGAAGCATCCATGGTCAGGTCAGAGTCATGGCAAATCCTCAGAGCTTCCCCGTGTTTCTTTCGACTAGCTTTCTGTGCTATATTTGACCAGTGATGCTCATGCCAGTATTTTATTCTATTATATAAATGATTCTTTTTTGGGGCCAGTAATTTAAATCTCTGAATCATTCACAGAGGAAAAAAAAAAAGGATGGCAGGGAAAAGGGACATTCTGTTTTAAACATTCAGTAGCTTCTACACCCAATTGCTGGATGTCACAAAATCAGGTGTCTGGCTTTAGGATGGAGAAATAATGGGGAAAATCACCATTTCTTAAACCTTTTCTGGTGATGTTTTAGGTCTGTTTGTTCTTTCTGCCAGTTTATCACCATGTAAAAGTAACTGGGCGTTTTAGTCTTGACCTGATCCCTGTCGCTGCTGTCAGACCAGCCGGGAGGACTGGCGTCCAGGGCCCTCTGCAGCTGTGTGTCTGTCGTGGGTGTTCGCAGAGCCCACCTCCACCTCCTGGCCACAGTGGAGCCTGGCTCACAGTCAGCCCAGCTTCCCTGATGCCTGTGTATGCTTGGCCATGGGGTGGAGGTATACCCAAAGTAAGCAAATAATCTCAGTCCAAGAGAGAAAAAGACATTAGGAGAAAAAGAAAGACATTTCTGAGAGATACAGAAAAATGCTCTACCTCCCAAGGGGCCATTTATTTTCCGATTAATATTCAAAACACTGAAGAGTGATTTCAGGATCTCCTGATCGCAGGACCTTCCTAACTAGAATAACAATACTAACGGGGTCCAAATGTGATCATCTACAAGCATAAAATAGACTGGGGAATTGATTTTAGAGAGAAAATGGATAGTCTACCTGGACTGTTAAGTGATAGAAATCTGAAATAATTTTTACATTAAACTTCTGATAATCTACTACTTTGTATCCATTTTCAATAGCATGTTTACCTTCCCTGTAGACAAATTGGTATTTATAGACATGAAAAAAGGAAGGGAAAGATAGCACTCATAGCTTAAGGGGGCTGGAACTTGAAGGAAGAAGGCGTGCTAGCACTTTCACACACGTGTGTGCGTGTGTGTGCGTGTGTGTGCGTGTGTGTGTGTGGGTGTGTATATATCTCCTTGTGTAAAATTATCTGTTTAGGTTGGCTCTGGCTAACATCCAAGAAGATGAAGCTAAAAATAACATCACCATCTTTACAAGGATTCTAGACAGACTTCTGGATGGTTACGATAATCGGCTTAGACCAGGACTGGGAGGTAAAAATAAGTTTTTCTTTTTTAAAACTCTCATAAAATAATGCTTTCAAAAGTTAAGGGTAATATTTCTATTTTAATGCTGTTTATGTATCAATGCGGCGCTATGTATAAAAAAAGCAGATGCTAGAAGGCAAGATAGCTGGAATCAAAATTATGTGTGATTCCTTCTACGTACACATAATGTATTTAATGCATCTTTCATAGCATGTCTGAAGTCACATGAAGCTCTGGCTTTCTGTGTGACTAGATTTTCAATTAACGTACGTCTAGTGACCAAGTTCTCAAACTTACTGTATGCTAAACATCATTGAGCAGATAAGCTTGTGTATTATTTTTGATTTCTTTCATTCTATTTGACAGTTGCCTATTTTCACACTAGTTCAGATATGCAGGAATAAGTAATAGTAAAAAAAGAGTATCTGAGTTGCGTTTCCACAAATACACTTTCTAGGATTCTATGATCATAGTTCTTTATGCATGTGTATAGCATTTCTAAAATGTGGCTCAGTTTGCCATCCTTACAACTTTCAGAAGCATTTTAGATATACAGGCCTGAGTTCCTGCATTGTGGCACAGTTTGATTTCAAACTTAAACATTAATTTCAACTCAGAGATACACATTTATTTTTATCCCGAAAGGTAAAAGAAATTAAGCTTGGCTAATGTGTTAAATTTTAATTAGCACATTTATCACATGTAGGCTTCATAATTATTAAGATACTTAGTTGAGCAATCAACTAAAAATAAAGGCAGATTATCTGAACACTTGTTATTAATCACAAATTTAAGTAGGTAGTCTGATTATTGCCTGATTGGTGGCTTTGTAATACTCAGTTGTTTGAAAATGCTTTTATTGACTACCTGCCTGAATATTTATGAAAAGAATTCCTTTGGAACATATAGGTGGTGGTTCGTTTTATATCTGTCTCTCTGACATGGTTTGGCTTGCCCAGGGGTAAGATAATCTTGGAAGAGACCCAACTTTGAAATAACATGCCATGTCATTGCTGTTGTACTGCACACTTTAAGAGAGAAGTCCCAGGTAGGAGTAATGTTCACAAATATGACACACTGTATCTCTAATGGAGAATTTGATTGTTTAATATACACTTCATTTCAAAACGGAAAAAGTAAAAAAGAGAAGAAGAGATTAGTGATTAATACGGCTAACGAGCATAGGTATGAGGGATTGCTGCTCCTGTTAGCATGCAGGGTGATGAGCTACTGCAGACCCACGGGCCAGGGCGAAGACTGGTAGTTTAGGAGAGGGATTGCAGTAAGGCAGATCTTTTTTTCTAAGCCATCAATGTTGTTATTTTTAAATAAATCATATGCTGTCAAAACACATTACAATGCTCAGGGTAGATCTTGGACTTGGTCTCTTGCAGATTTTAGGAAGAATACTTATTTCTTGCTGCATGGTTAGGGAGTAGAAACTACCTTTCAGGACTTGGGTATTCCATTAGTCTCCATATTTCTTTTGTTATGTGGGTTGTTGCAGTTTATTGCCTTTTCTTACCCTGTTGTCTCTCTCCCCTAGTCTTCTGATAGTGAACACATGCCAATAGCTCCCTCGGATGAATCTTCTTTTAGTGTTCCTCTGCTAGAATCTTCTTCTTCTCTTTGCTTGGTCAGAATCTTCTGTGGCTTCCACTCGGGCCCGGCAAGCAGACATATTGGACTGGAATTCTGCCCTCTCTACATACACACAGCTATGTCTTGGCCAGATCATTTGTGTTACTTGTGACACAAAATGGCCATGATGAATCTATCTTTCTCCTTTACAGAGTGGTTGAGAGGATTGCACAAACAAAAATGTACCCCGAGTGTAAGCCACACACTAGCAGTTCTGTCCTTCTCTCCTCTTAGTTCAGCGCGGGTTTCCAGCCTCAACTCTCTCCTTCCCTCCTCTTAGTTCAGTGCGGGTTTCCAGCCTCCTCTCCTCTGTCTGCGTCTCCCACTTTCCTCACCTCTCCTCTGTTCATTTTCTCGGGATAATTCATTTTCATCTGCTCTCTTGGCCTTTGGGCATGTTGTCCCCTTGACTAGAATCACTTTTTTCTCACCTTCTCTGATGGCTTGAACCCTACCTCTCCTGTAAAACTCATCTTAACACCAGTCTTCTTTAGAAAAGATCTTTCGTAACTGAATTGCAGTGCCCTGACTCCGTTTTCTTTCTGCTGCATTTCATTAGTAGCTGTTGGCGCTCTGTCTCGTTTGGTACTTACTATGTGCTCTCTTGTATTATTTATTATTTTTCTACGTGTCTCTTGTTACCGTAATAAGATTGTAAGCTCACCGAAGCAAGATATTGTATCATAAATCCTCTGTATTCTGGGCAACTAAATATTGATTTGCATACTGTGGCCATGACGTAAATGTGGATTGCTTGATTAACTTGCCTATGACCCGTTAATCACCTGGAAAGTGGGACTCCTTCCGTCTGGCTGGCCCTTCGGTTAGGAGCGCTGAAGCGATATGTTGACTATCATGTGAGTTCTCTGGTAGCTATTGGCCGATTGGCGAGCTCTCCCGTTTGGGACTTCCGAGGTGGCTTAGCGAAGAGAGCCTAGCTTCACACTTTGCAGATCCAGGTCTCAATCCCCGGCTCTGGTTCTTAGCTGCTCAGTGACCTGTCAGTGCTTAGTCTCTCTGGGTCCGCATGTGTCTTCTGCAGAGAGCATTTCTAATGGCATTCAATGTGGTTTATGCATGCAGGGACTTTAGCACAGTGCTGGGTAAGGGTCGATAGGGAGTAATCGACAGTAACCTAGAAGGCTTTGGTAAACTTTCTAAATGTGGTGTTCCATATTTATTGTTATCATGACTTGTGCTTCCAAAATTCTTAGCTCAAATATTCGCTTTTCAAGTAAAAAGGTAAGGAACATTACCTGCATCATTCTGTCCCTGAAGTTAATATTGGGTTGTTATAAAAGTCATGACGTACTTTGTGTTTTTCTATGCCCAAACGCATCATGACGTTTCTGACAACCCAACAGTAAAGGGAAACGGGCTTGATTTTTATACATCAAACTGAGCATCGCTATTGATTGTTAAGCTTGATAATGAATCTCAATTGTTATTTTCTTTTCTTTATAACTTTAACATAAATGAGTACTTAGGAACAAGGAAACACTTTTGAACTACGAGTAACAAAAATTGTCCCTGTAACCTGGTCCCATGACTTCATAGATATTAGTACGGTCAAGACACGGAGACATCCGGAACCTCGGCATGTTCTTCGGGAAAATGTAAACGGCAGTATTCTATTCGACAAAAACGAGGGGAGTCTATTGTAATTTATGTAGAAGACACAATATATTGGGAACCAGCAGTTAGCATAATGGCTATGTCACTGGACTCCCATGTAGTCGACCGGGGTTCGCGTCCCGGACCCGGTGGCTTAGAACTCACGCCGGGCGCGTGTGCGTGCATGCCCAAGATCCCGAGAGGAGAATGGAGGAGAAGGGATTGCGGCGTGACCATCCCCCCTGGGGGGGTGATTTCTCGCTTTCTGTCTCTCTGTCTCTCTCTGTCTGTCTGGCGAGCGCACGCGCCCTATAGAGAAAACCTCTCCAAAAAAAAAAAAGAAAAAGAACACAATATATTGAGTGATATGACTTTAAGTTATTTAATGATTAAGAATAGATCTTTTAAAAATTTAAGCCAGGTCGCGCACTCAATTAGTCAAAACTGTACGGTGGAGCCTCTCTTAACTCAGAAGAAGGGCTGATTTCTCGAGCTGTGCTCCGAGGCCCTGTGTGACCTCGCTGTCCGTTCTTTGTCCCTACCTCGACTCACACTGCTCTCCAGCTTGCTGGTGTGGGTTCATGTAGGTTGACTTCCTTCCTGGTCTTCGATCATACCAGGAAACTCCGTGGGGCTTTTTCCTGCGCTGTTCCCTCCTCTCCGGAAAGCCAAGCGTCACACTAGCCCAGCGAGGCCCGCCCTGAACAGCCCAGCACGCACTGCACCCCGTCTTCCCCCGTGGCATGATGCCTTACCCAGTTTCGATATTTTCTTCAGCCCTTAGGTTTTACTATACGAGAGTATGTATGTATTTATTTACTGTCTTTATGCTAGTTGCTCGTTTTTGTCTCTTTTGGTAGCATGGAGACTCGTGAGAGCTTGGATTTTTGCCCGTTTTGCTGTTTGCTTGTTGATTTTTTTTTTGTTTTTTGAGGAGAGGTTTCTGTTATAGGGCACATGCGCTCACCAGACAGAGAGACAGAGAGACAGAAAGTGAGAAATCGCCCCCCAGAGGGGATGGCCACGCTGCAATCCCTTCTGCTCCATTCTCCTCTTGGGACTGGGCCATGCATGCACATGTCCCCAGCGTGATTTTCAAGCCACCGGGTCCAGGACACAAACCGCAGTCCACTATGTGGGAGTCCAGTGACATAGCCATTATGCTAACTGCTGGTCCCGGTTGGTTGATTTTTCTATCCTGAGTATCTGAGCAGTGCCTGCTGTGGAGTTAGCCTTCAATGAAATGTCCTATGAAAGAATTTTAATCATCTAAATTAATTTAACTTAATTTTTTAGTATGCCACATTTAAAAAAAGCAGCTACAGAACTTACGGTTTGCTTAACATCAACAGAACAACTCTCAGGGACAGACCCGCCTCTCAGTGTTACTAGCACCATCGGTAGGCTGCCAGTGGTGAACCGGAACAATCAGGACACCACTCAGGGTTCGATCCCTCCGACCTCTGACTTCTGTACCTGTGAACCTCCCTTGAGGTAATGGATTCCAGTGACTCGGTGTCTCACCTGTGACTTAGTTTACTCATCTGGGAAATGGAAGGCAAGTTCCACTGACTCTGTCTCTCACAGGGAGGCTTCTCAGGAGAGTAAAATAAAAGGGGTCCAGATAGGGA